TTTTGAGCCAAATTCGTCAAGTTGGCCGGAAATTTTTTTTGGTGACAAGATAGCAAATTGTCTAGAATGGTTATAAAAGTGAGTTACATAGTCCATAGTGTCGTATTTAGTGAGAAAACAGCAAAACACGGATCGGGAATCGATCTGTGCACGGATCAAAGTGCTCGAAATGGACTGCAGATAGCATATCTAGTCGTCTTATGCCTAGTCTAGCACAGAAATATAGTTTAGTCGCACTCTGCAAACGATAATTTGGCAGTTCACTTTTCGAACGGCCCTTATGCCTGTAAAAAAGTGAACTGGGAAATACGATGGAAAAGGCGGCCGTTCCAGAATCGGCCATATTAGCCTGACTAGACTGCATCCCGTCCGCTCTGCAAAGTTAACCAGGCTCAAGCGTGGGTAGTACTCAGGTGGGTGACCACTGGGGAAGTCCACGTGCTGATTCTTTTTGCACATCCATTTACACATCCTTGATTACGAAATTTTTTACCACATGGTGTCACACACAGGCTTGTTCGGGGATCGACTGGCCGGCGGCAATCGTCGCCGCGAGCTCGACGCATGCCAATATCTCCGCTTCTAGGCCTTCCCGCGCGACGCCACTTGGAGACAACACGTATAACATCAATACAAAACATATCCTAGCTTCATAGCGCGCGCGCCGACTCGGAATACCCGCAAATGTCGTACCAGCCTGTCTCAGGATGGCGGCACAGGCCTCGGCGAGCTCGACAAACCTCCATATCTTCACTACCAGGTCGTCCCACGTGACGCCACTTTCGGAGCACCTGTTTAACATCATTACAAAGCATATCCTAGCTCGGCTGCATGGGCGCCGATTCGGAAGACTCACAGACCCGTTCGTTGAGTCAATCCCGTATGCAGCTCAGCATGCTCGATTGGTTGAACTGCACTTGTAGAGATCGGATTGACGCCGGTCGCGCTTGATTATCGCGTATGGCACTAGTACAAGCATGTGTGCGTCGTCACAATACGAAATTGCCGCTACAGGCCAAATGCGACGCGATTTATCGGTCCGACATCAAAATCACTAATCGACGAATAAAGCGTGTTCCGCCCGAATCTTCGCAAGGTCGTTACATATATCGACGCAGCTCATTACCAGCAACATGAAGGTGTCCCCGATGAAAACGCTGTTTCGGTTTCCGCTTTTGCTCGAGATATTGTATACCCGGCTCTCGGCCCGCTCTGCATCTAGAAAGTACTTTCACGGCGCATCTTTGGTCTCGACATCCGATCGCGTGAATCGGCTATTTGACGCTACGACGCATTTTGTTTCAAAGCTTAGCCAATTCAAGCTAGGGCGCTCTCGTGCAGGGTCGTTCGGGTCGTTCTTGCTCTAGGAAGTACTTTTCACTTTTTTGGTCTTGACACCCGCTCAAATCGGACTCTCAGGTTCTTCTGAAAAAAGGTCCGAAAATTTTGCCCATAACTCCTCCTCCAAAGTTAATATTTCCAACTTCTGATAGCATTTTGGCCCCGTGAAAGTTTTACATCTAGATGCATGACGATCTCGCATCACGAGCAACTTGTTTTTGGCGAACTAGACATCGGCCAACAAAGTGTCGACGTAACTAGTCGACCATCCGTGAAGGCTTGTGAAACATGAAAAGATGCGACCTTAAAAAAGTTATGCAGCCTGTGCAGTCGTGGCGCGCTCAAAGCTTTCTGGTTACGAGCATTTCCATTCCGTTTTGGGCCAATTTAGGGCCAACCGCTCGATATCTGATGAACGATAAGATAAGGTTTCTTGACTTCCCCTGTCAATACAAGAATCGAGTGAAAAAAAAAAATTTCCGTCGAGGAGTATCGAATTTCACCAAGTGCCGCCATACTGAATCCAAGTCTAATCTGCGGCGAGAATTCTGGTGAATTTTCCATCACTGTTTTACCTCGTACTTTGTCTGAGACTGTTTTGAGTGTTTCTACCATTTGGGAACTGTAGCTTTGTGCCTAGACCAAAGTGAAAAAGTTGACTAAATGAAAAGACGATCCTGATAGGTCGATATTTTTTATAAATTTTTTTTTTGCGGTGTCTATAATTTCTTAGTTCTAGCTCTGCCGCCGGCGCTGGACGGTTAAGGAATAAAATATGCCTGGGTTTCGGTAATCCAGGTGAAAAGGGAACGATTTGTGATGTACTTTACGCTTCGGTGTGACTGTTTAATCATGATGAATTCGTGCTGCTCTGGTGTTTCTTGCGCGGTATCTCGGTACTGTTGCGGCTATATTCATCAGCACAAGGAGGTTGGCATTGTAAACTGCCCGGGAGTTGCGCTAGCTTGCTGGTGTAATTTCTCGGGTGAGTTTCGCATTGCTAGCCTGGCAAAACAATTTCAGTAAAACGAATTTGTTGGCATCTCGGTTAGGCTGCAGTTGAAAGGCTGTAGCTCGAACCTTGATGCGAATTGGAAATCATTCTCGGGAAAATCAAAGCGGCTCCTCTCGGGGAGCTGCGGCGAAATTCTTTCGTGCA